GCCTGCCTGCCCCCATGACATCACACCCCTCCACTGAAGAACTCCTATAGCACCACAGGGATATATCACTTCCAACCACGGAAAGCTCTCTGCTCAAGAGGCCACTCACCTAGGAAGGGGACGCCAGCGTGCCTGGCCAGCTCCTCACCTCCCCCTTTGGAAAAGATGTTTGTGCACTCCTGAAGGAGGAAGAGCAAAAGCAGCAAGTCAGAAACCCCAGAGCCCTGTGCAACAGGGCAGGCACTGCCTGCATGCGAGTAGAGCCAGCTCCCCTCTGCCTTCCAGCCTCGGGGTCCTGCCTTTGCCCCTGCCCTCCCCCAGCTCTCTTTAGAGACCAGAGCCAGTAGCTTCTTCCGAAGCAGACACACAGCAGCCAGCAGCTTCTCGTCTCCTCAGATCGCCCTTACGGCATTTGCTGATTTTCCACCCAAGGTGCCGCATCCTACAACGCCCCATCACAAACGAGAACCTGCAAGAGCCCAGCGGTCCCAATACACTCACTGAGCAGTGCGGGCAGACGAAGCTGCTCATGTTCTCCACGATGCCGAGAACTCGCAAGCCCGTCTTCTTACAGAACGTCAGCTCTCGCCTTACATCTCCTACAGATACAGCCTGCGGGGGAGAGCAGGGGAGGTTAGGGGTGTCCGTCTGTCCAGGCAGACCATGGGTCTGGAGCAGTCATGCATCAAAAGACAGGCAGATGTAGCCACGGACAGGCATGTGCAAACACCCACCTTGGGGTGCGTATCCCCCCCCAAACCCATTCCCACAGGCAGAAGCCTGTCCCTGGGAACTCCAGTGCAGCCCCAGCTGGCTGCCCTACCTGGGGTGTTGTGACCAGGATCGCTCCAAGCGGCTTGTAGGGCCGCAAGGCCTCCACCGTGGAGATGTGCTCATCGGATGTGCCCGGCGGCGTGTCCACGATGAGAAAGTCCAGGTCCCCCCAGGCCACGTCAGCAACAAATTGTTTGATCAAAGCTACGAAAATAAAAAGGGCAGGGAAAAAACCCAAGAAAACAAACCAGGTTTCAGCGGGTGCCCTGGGAGCTGTGGGCCAGGCAGGGCAGGGGTCAGGAGGCACCCTGGGTGACAAAGGTCCAGTGAGAGATGGCAGGGCTATCTGTCAGCACAACATGAGCTGCAGTCTCTCCAGCCGAGTGATCTGAACCCCCTCCTGCAGAGCAGGAGCCTTGTCTTGCTCCAAGGAATGGCCTGCCCAGAAATGCCTGGCCCCCAGCAGGAACAAACCCCACCTCCAGGAGGGTTTGCAGAAGGTTCCTGACACCAGAAGGTAGGTGACAATGAACAGCAAAACCCAAGTGTACCGTTTTTCTTGGGTCCTCTCCACACCACAGCATCATCTGGCTTCTCCAGCAGGAAACCGATGGACATGAGGGAGATGCTCTTGTCTTGGTCCACAAAGACAGGGACCCAGCCGCTGTCGCACTGATGCACGTCATTGTCCTGCACCCTGAACATGCGGGGTATGCTGGGGCCACACAGGTCCACATCCAGGATCCCCACCTGCGGGCAATGAGGCAGAGCCCTTCAGACAGGGCTGAGCAGGGCAGCAGCATCCAGCTGTGCTCCCTTCCCTGGGCAGGGGGAAGCAGCGTCCAGATTTCAGCTGCTTGCAGCACTTTCCAGAACGGACTCTAAGCTTGGCAGCCAGATTTGAAACACAGTTTCAAAGAACTGCTTTAAAGTTTGACTGCCTTCCCAGTCACCATCCCTCTAAGGAACATCTCCTGAGTGTTCCCCAGGAACTTTAGGGAGATCTTTATACCAGACACCTGCCAGGATCCAAGCAGCACTGCCTGCACAGAGCCTTTCAAAAAAAAAAAAAAAAGTCCTCAGGGAATTCAGCCTGTCCCAAGCCCACAGAGTTCCTCTTCATCCCCCAACGCCGTCCTTCAGCTCACCCACTTCACTCCACAAGGGGAGCGGGTGTTACACCACAAACCAGCAAAGTCATTTCTCAGCGCCTCAGTTTCAAAACTAACAACAAATCTTGGGTGATTTTTAGTCTCTTGGATGAAAGGGAAGTGAACTGCGGTTACCTGCCCTGGATCAAGCAAACATAGAAAAAAAAGAACCCCTTGAGCTGCTATCGCAAACAGCATTTGCGCACAGAGAATCCATATGCTGCCCACACAGGACACACACACACATGCATAAAGGATGAGCAAAACCCAGCCCAGCTGGAGGTCGGGAAGGAGAAGACAGAGCTCAGCATCCCACAGACCCTCGCTCACCTTCTTCCCAGAGTGCCGCAGTGACAGAGCCAGCTCGGTGGAGATGGTGCTCTTCCCCACGCCACCCTTCCCGGAGAGCACCAGCAGGATGTGCCGCACCCCGGCCAGGTTGCTTCTCTCTGGGAGGAATGATAACAAGGCATCAGAGCCTCCAACAAGAACAGTAATGAGGCATCCAATTCTCTCCTGATGTAAGCCGGCAGCACCTGCCCGGTCAGCACAGAGACAGGGGTCTCTGCTGAGGGTGACAGTGGCTGTCACTGCTCCAACAACCCTGTTTTAAGCATAAGGGAGGGGGAAAGGGGAGGTGGGTGTGCCACAGCCCTTTTGCCATCAGAAAAGGGACAACAAGAGCAACAGCAGGAAACATTCTCTGGGGAGCAAAGGCTTTGTCCTGATGACCTAAGCAGCAATTGGGCAGCAAAGCAATAAACACCCACGGGGCCAGGTCACGGTGTGCCTCCGCCAGGACCAGCCCGAGCCGTCTCAGGGAACAGCTTGGAGGCTGTTGGTGAGGTCAGGCCCTTGGCGTTTCCTTCCTCCATACCACAGGAGCTGCCTCCCCGCGGTCCCAAGCTCCTCGCCAGCCTTCGTGCTGTTTCTCGCCGTGTTGTCAGCACCGCTCAGACCCCCGCTCCGGGCTCAGCTCCCACATCCCACCAACGCCGAGCTGAGAGCAGGCAACGCTTGGGGCTGCTTCCCCAGCCCGGGGCTGCGCAGGCAGCAGAGGGTCAGACCGGAGCCGAGCAAACAACACCCACC